CTTTGTGTTGTAAGTTGTGTAGTATGTTAAGTCTTTACATTTTGGTGCATGTATACAATCAAATTTAAAATGTCTTCAATGTTTGAGACTTATATCTTTTATATGTAGTGTTGTGTGGTACATGAATATGTAGTTTCTGTATTGTTGCTTTTCATTGTGTAGAATTATTGCAGTTTTTGCTAAAATATTAAAAAAAATTCTTATATCAAAGGCCCCGGTTGTTTAGTAACAACCTATGCAAATACATTTCAAAATATTTTTTTTTAAATTTATTATATTGAGCAACGGCATCGGTTTTTCTGGAAAAGCCGATGCAAATACCGTTTTCTAAATATTTTTTTAAAAATAAATATAGCAAAGGCATCGGTTGTTCCCGGCACACCGATGCAACTACGGATTTTTTTAAAAAAAATTCAAAAATTAAATGCTCAAAGGCATCGGTTTTTGCTAAACCACCGATGCTAATACTCTATTTTAAATTTCGGTTTTTACCAAAGGCATCGGTTGTAGCCAAACAAGCAATGCTAATACGATTTCTTTAAAAAAAATTCGAAAATGTTTTTACCAAAGGCATCGATTGTTTGTCTACAACCGATGCTAATACTATTTTTTTAATTAATAAATTAGAAAAGGCATCGGTTATTAATAACCAACCGATGCTAATACTCCATTTTTTCTAATTAATAAAATAGCAAAGACATCGGGCGTTTCTAAAGGCGATGCAATTGAATTTGACCAATTGCATCGCTCGTATTTGCATCGGTACAAAACCAATGCTAAAGGTACAAAACAACTGGTGTCTTTGCTCTGATATGTACTAGTGGAACTATGGTAATACAAGAGTAAGGAAACAAATAGTACTTCCTCTGTTCTCAAAAACATCTCCTCTTTTATTTTTTCCAATTCCAACAAAACACTTCCCCTTTCTATTAAAAAACTACTTTAGCTCTTACCTTTTCATACCCTACCTATCACATCATACTTTTTCTCTAATAATCTATCCATCACATCTTACTTTTATCCATCACATCAGGGGCAAAATTGGAAATCAACTACTCCCTCCGTCCCCCTGTATTTGTCCACTTTTATTTTTACACACCATCCAATGCACTTCTTTAATTCATTTTATCTTGTACTTTGTATATTAAAAAATTATAAAAATTATATATTAATAATCTATATGTTAAGACAAATCAAACAAGATTACACATGACTATATTTAGGCTTACACATTGAGAGAATTTGATGAGTCAAAGTGCTTAGATGAACAGTTCCAAAAGTCAAATGTGGACAAATACATGGGGACGGAGGGAGTATAATTTAACACTTCTTTATTTTTGCCCCCAAATCAAATGGGAAGGGTTTTTCCAAACGGAGAGAGTAATATTTAGGATATTAAAGCACCACATGCGTCCCACATGACACATTTATGCCTCACAATCACATAAAATTTTATATTAAATAATACTCCCTCCGTCCCGGTTGGGACATTTGCTTTTTAGGAGGGATTTAAGGGAGTGTATTTTGGTATTGAATTTCCAAAAATGTCCTTTGATGTGATGGGTAAAAGTATGATTTGATGGATAGATTATTAGTAAAAAGGTATGATGTGATAGTTAGGGTATGAAAAAGTAAGGGGTAAAAGTGACTTTTTAATAGAAATGAGAAGTGTTTTGTGGGACGGATAAAAAAAGAAAGGGGAAATGTTTCACGGGATGGAGGGAGTAATTAATTTTATTATTATTATTTTTTCAAATCGTTAANACAATCACATAAAATTTTATATTAAATAATACTCCCTCCGTCCCGGTTGGGACATTTGCTTTTTAGGAGGGATTTAAGGGAGTGTATTTTGGTATTGAATTTCCAAAAATGTCCTTTGATGTGATGGGTAAAAGTATGATTTGATGGATAGATTATTAGTAAAAAGGTATGATGTGATAGTTAGGGTATGAAAAAGTAAGGGGTAAAAGTGACTTTTTAATAGAAATGAGAAGTGTTTTGTGGGACGGATAAAAAAAGAAAGGGGAAATGTTTCACGGGATGGAGGGAGTAATTAATTTTATTATTATTATTTTTTCAAATCGTTAAATTGCTAACTTTTGCTTTTATAATATAAATATTGAATTTCATATTAAATATTTTTCTTTAAATAAATAATTACCTTATGCATGATACTAGCTGGGCATGCACTACGTGCATGGGTGCCCAGTTTAAGTTATTGTTTTTCTATACTTAGAGGTGTGCGTGTTTGTTTCCAGCATGCGCAGCAGCTTGAAAGTCATGTGTAAATTAAACAGCGTGAAGGCAAGGCGGCCCTTCTGGTCTGTTTTTTTTTTTTTTTTTGCAGGTAGCCTTTTATAGTGTGTTTTTTGGTAAAGTTGCTGAAGAAGTATACCTTTCTGTAGTGATTGCATTATCATTTTCGCAGTGTAGGCAATGTAACTTAACTAGAAAGTTTGTGCCTATTAATTTATGTGTAATTGAGTATTTGTTTGAATCAGGTATATATATATTCCAACTCTTGTACTCCCTCCGTTCCACAAAACCCTTCCGGTTTTGACTTTAGGGAAAAATATGAAAAATGTAATTTTTGGTTGACTTTCCAATTTTGCCCCTGATGTGATGGGAAAAAGTAAGATGTGATAGTTTGGTTATTAGTGAAAAAGTATGATGTGATAGGTAGGGTATGAAAAAGTAGGGCTAAAAGTGGTTTTTTAATAGAAAGTGCAAGTGTTTTGTGGAAAGCAAAAAAAAAACGAAAGAGTAAGGGTTTTGTGGAACGGAGGGAGTAGTTCAGAAATATTTCAAGTGGTTCATGATACACAGAGACTGTAATTTTATCAGCAAGGAAATGGAGAAATAAAATGAATCAAATGCATATTGTTAATACGCATATGATACAAATGGCTCGCTTTGAAATCAAAGAACTCACATTGAAAAGCTAAAATCATGAAACGAACATCAAATATTGAAAAAGTTCTATTATTTAATGACTTGGTCTGCCTGTAAATTGAGCTTCCAAGAACCACACACCAGTAACTCTAGATGTCTCTAAAAATTTGCATAAGGTAGTGTTTGGCAACTAGCATTTCATTTCAATTCCAAGATTTAAAATCCTGAATTCCAAATGACAAGGAGAGGTGCGTTGATTTCAAATTAAGCTTTGTTTTGAATGTAAAGAATTTGATTCAAATACAAATTCAAAATGCTTAAGTTTCCCAAACATGAAATTTAAACCAAATCCGGATTTGAAATCCAAACCTATGTTCCCAAACATACCATAAGGGAATTTATGATAGGAGTAAAATAGTCAGTTCTGTTTCCTGTTTTTGGAACATGTACTAATCCGTTATTTAAATCAAGTTTCGCTGGAAATTACATTCTGATGTTACCTCTTCCTTCAGTAGGGGGGTGTATCCTTTGCGCACAAGTTGCTACAATGAACAAAAAGCAAGCACATTAAATATAAACACACTTAATCAAAGGAATTAGACCACCCCCAAAAAATAAAAGGAAACAAAAAGCACATGAAAGCAATAGAAAATTCAAAAAAAAAACTGGATCGATTTAAAAAACCTACATTAATTCAAAAATTAAAGTTTTGAACATACCTCAAACCAGAGAAGAAGCACTGGTGGCAACTGAAACCGTAATGAGGTTGGATGATAGAGAAGGTGACATGAAGGATGTGGTAGCTAGGAATATGAAGTGAGGATGAATGCATTACAGTGCGCAGAGTCTTTCGGACTTGGAAGCCGTAAGGAGAAGTGATTTTACTCTGTTTGGCATGTCAGCTTTTGCTTTTTACCACTACTATTTTGTACATAGAACACCGTTTCGAAGAAGCAAATATGAGGTGCTTTTGCTTTCAGCTTTTGTAGAAATCACTTTATCTATAAGTTAATCGTCTCAAGTACCCGGCTCCGAAGAAATAAATTGCAGAAAAGAGTGCGCTTGGTTGGAATGTGTAGCACCGTTAAGGAAATAAGCAGAAAGCGGCTCAAAAGTAAGGATGACGAAATCCAACGGAAAGAAAACGGAAAAAATGCTAAGCCTAACAAAATAGGCGTTTATTCCCTCCGTCCCAAAAAGTCTTTCCTGTTTACTATTACGGTCTCTCGATAACTCTTATTTGTTTTCGTGTTTTCATTGATCACTTGATAAAATAAAATATTCTTGTCATCTCTTATTTTGTAGAGTTTTCGGTGTAGTTTTTAAATATAACTTTTTTATGTGTTATTTCCTTACCAATTTGGAAATAAAATCATATTAAAATCCACGAAATTTTACACGTTAATCAAAGTAGGAATTTTTTTTTGGGACGGAGAGAGTATATAATTAGGGTAGATGTGATAACATGTATGCCTTGCCACATGTCATCACCTATTCACGCATGAGCAATAGACTCAATTTTACACACACACACATCCCCTTTATAGTTAGGTACTCTATATCTTCTCTATTTTTAAATATTTATCTAATTTTGATTTTTTTCCATCAATAATCTTTAATTTTTGACTTATAATTGTATAAAATATATATTGTATAATTATTAGATAAAATAATATTTTGGAAATATTTTATATAATAAAAATAATTAATATATATATATATATATATGTATGTATGTATGTATGTATGTATGTATGTCTCTGTGTGTGTGTATATATATATCTAATATTACTTTTATTTAATTTGAGGTTAAAATTACTATTTTTAACCAAAAAAATCAAAAGTGAACAAATAGTGAGGGACGAAAAAAGTCTTATTTACACCTTTAGTAAGAAGTATCCCTACTATATACAAAAGCAGCAGGAATTCTTGGGCGGGAGTAGTTTCAGTAGAGGCCAGCAACCGACAGTCAACGCATGATGCCACGATCCTGGATTAAGCAGATCTCTCGCATATTAAGAAGAACAAAGCCACGATCTCACCGCACAATTCCTCACTGTTTCCGTTTTCTTTCATCCGTAACGCGCAATCGAGAACAATGCTCACAACTCTCCAAAATCCATGGTAGGGGGCTGGGTTTCCAAACCCTAGCCCAGTCACCAACGAACTCTCCTCCCCTACCATCTGCTTTCTGATTTGGATTGCTCGATCTAGAGAGCATTTCTGGATTTAGAAGAAGAGACGAAGGAATTTGCACTAGAGAGAGGGTGGATGTCACTCATCATCTCAATTTCAGTATCAATTTCTTTAATTTTCTGGTAATGCTTTGATTCCTCGCTAAAGTAAACAAGATTTCATATTTATTTCATCCACATATTGTGTAAGAATAGTGTTGGGATTTTAATATGTGTGGAAGTTTGACAACTTTTTATACAACTTTTCAATGGAGAAAAAATAAAAGGTCTAGGTGGGTGAAAGCCATTCTTAGGTTGAAGAAACATCCAAAAGTGTACGTGTGTTGTTGCCTCCCCACACATTTGGAACCTAGATTATGTTTATCGAGGGAAAAAATCTAAAGTGCTATGTTTTTTAAAGTTGGCCTTCACAAGCACTTGCTTCTATATATGGTTTCTCAGTGTGTAATTAATAATTGAAGCAAAAAATGGTGCAGCATGCTACTTTTCTCATCAAGTGCTCCAAAGGACTGCAAATGTGTATCTATGATTGATTATCAACATATAGTGCATCGGTGGGTAATGTAGTGTACAGAGGTAGCTTAATTAACTTTAATTTAGTGAGTGCTATTATTGCTTCCTACTTTTAATTATTTAGTGATTTTTACATGACTTTGAGATTACTCAGTATACACTTACTATGCTATCTCTAGGCAATTTGTTTGGCTGCTTATAAAAAGCTACATGAGATGGGATCCTTGACTGACATGCTATCTACTTCTTTACAAAAACATCAAAAAAAATTTCCTTCCTTAAATCTGGAAGTTTGTAGAGCATATTAAAAATCGTTGCACCTCAAACTTCTACCAATCTCACTATAGAATACTCTATATTAAAAACCCACCGTGACTCAAAATCGATTCTAGCTTGGCCTATTGGTTTTCTTCATCGGTGGTGCCTCTAGAATTGATACTTCTTTCTCTGTTTCATATACAGCAAATGTTCACAGAATTCATTCTTTGCAATATGGACAGACCTTGCACACATATGGGACTTTGATCGAACTTCACTGTGGCAATGATGGTGGCTGGCCGAACTAGGGTTATAGTGGCGATTGGGGTGGTTGAGCTAGCAACACTACCTCGGGTATTGAGCTGAGAGCAAGGCCGCAAACCAACAGGTCTTCTTCTTCTTCATTCTATTTCATTTTATGTAATTCATATATACATAAAAATACAAAGTATTATTTTACAAATTAGGATTAATGTTAACTATTAAACCCAAGCTAATACAATCTCCAAGTAAAAGGAAGTAACAAGTCAAGAACTAAGTACAACAGAACTTGATATCTCACTTCGGTTTATCACACGTTTAAGTAATGAAGTAAGGACTTGAGAAAACCATTAATAGAAAAAACAAAATCTTCACTGTAGTTATACAGTTTAAACATCCAACTTGTTTATTAGATTATTCCATTGGGAAGAAAATGATGAGACTAGTTTTTAGAATGGGAGTTTGAATATCCATGTTTGTTTATGTGGGTAATATCAATGTAGCATAAATTGTTTTATTGTCTGATTTAAATAAGCCATTGATGGCTTTTGTAGTTTTGAAGGCCTAATCTCCTACTATGAGTTTTGTAAAACACTTATAGATGAAAATCATAAATTGATCATGATTCTAAGATGTCCTAAATAGCAGTACATGCATATTGTTGTCTTCAAACTGGTTTTTGTTTTAATTTTATGGTCAAAATGTGATAAATATTTTCATATGTACACAGGGTTATGTGTTATTCACTCTCTTTCAAAGAAGCTGAAAAAATAATGCATGTTTCTTCACGAAAAACAGTCTGAGCAACTAAAGAACTATGGGGCTTAGGTGATGTTTGGGATAACCTTAAATGAACTCATGTTCTTTCTACTTTAATGATAACCTTTTAAGTGATGTTTGGGATATGTACTATTTTGTGTAGATATATAGTGCTAGCTTGCGTGCTTGCTCGAAGGAAGCATTGGTTGGTCACAATTATGTAGAAACAAGGAGAAATTGTGGGGCTATTTGTCTGAAGCATTGGTGCTGCCAAGTTATTTTTTATTTTACTGCATAAACTTTTTTTGGGAAAATTTCCGCATATTCAAGTTATCGCTATTAGTCTTTATAGTTTATATATATACCATTAGGAGAACTTCCCGCCTAAAAACATCCATTATAAATAGTGTAGGGTTATGCAATTCAAGACCCATCATAGTTTGTTTCAGAGCAGAAATGATAATATGCAGAGTATTGCTCATTTGATGTTGACTCACATATTTTGATTCTTTATGATAGTAAGATGTACTCCGTAATTAGTTTTGCCCCATTATACTGGATACTGTTTTTGTGTGCTGGCATAATTAAGTTTAGAATGAAAAAATTGACATCCAGTAATATAGAAAAAATACTGAAGTAGGAATAAAACATTGGAAATATACCAAAATAAGACTTTCATTTTTTATTTCCAAAATAGAAGTTAAAATGTATTTATATTACCAAACATGATCATGTACATTATCAAAAAATATAGTAATGTGCAAATGTAGAGTGCCAAATTACCACCACGTGCGAATTGCTATTTTGGAAATAAAAATATTAAACTTTTATTTTTGTATTTTTCTATATTGTCCTATCTAGAGTTATTTCTACACAGTTATACTCATTTTCTGGCAAAAGATTCTTTACCTTAGACTTTTCATAGTTCCAATGTGATGATATTTTGATCATAAAATATTACTCGAACCAAATATATTTGTACAACTATACTTTGCATGGAGAGAGTTTATTTTATATATTGGATAAATACAGTGTTTTGCGCGTAAACACTCCAAGCAATAATATCAATTTTTAAATGTATGTTGTCATTTTCTTCTCCGTCTAATTTATATTGTCTATTTCAGTTTAAGATGTTTGATTGAATTATTTGTAATTTAATTTAATTTATTTAAAATTGGATGAAATCAAAGAAATTAAAATTACATGTAAAAAATTACATTATAAGTTTTTTGAAACAAAAGAGGATATAATTATATTATTTTATCAAGTAGTAAAAAATAATTAAAGAAAGTAAATAAAATTTTATCACGTGAATAATAAATGTAAGAAGTATACGAACTATGTTAGTTTTTTTTATATTAAAAATAAATTCTAACCGTGCATCGCACGGGTAAAATCTAGTTTATATGAAAGTAAGTAGAGAAACAAAAAAATTAACAAGTTCAAGTTCTGTGTATGTGCCATGTCAAATGTCAAAATTACTCTACATTGTGTGTGTGTGTATGTATGTATATGTATGTGTGTGTGTGTGTATGATTTTATTAAAAAAACAAATAATTATATTATGTTCTCAAAAGAAAATGTGAAACATATACATGAAGTATATTTTAGGGATGAAGAAAAGTAATATATAAATTCATTTGTGAATAATTAATTTTAGTTTTATATGAAAACAACAATTATGATTAGGCAAATTCTGTTGTAGACGTGCACCTATATATAGATGAACAATTTTTTTTTTCAAAAAAATTAAGTAAGACCATTTAAGTTTTGTGGGCTTAGGTTCTCTTTACTTGTTCTGATTGAAATAAGTTATGATCTGATATGATATGATCTGGTCTGATATAAATGTAGCTATATTTAAAGCAATTTTTGATCTGATTGAATCTAATCTGATTACAATAAGAATAAGTAATAAGTAAAAAGAATAAGTGGAGTAGAACATGACATTAGTTTTTATGTTCACCAAAGAAGTACTTTTGGGATTAAAATCAACATTTTGAATAATTTTTTCACGATACTTGACATATACCCCTTTTCACTCTCTGAAGAATGTGTAAAATCATATCACTTTTAAAATAATTTTTATTTATAAAGTCATATAAAAATAACAACTACAAATTATATCGTTTAAAAAACATCAAAAGTTCAACTTCATACAAAACATAATGTTACAAGAATATTTTATTCTATGAAATGATCAATGAATATATACAAACAAACAAAATTTATCGAGAGTATTGACTAGCGAATTTTAAAAATGTTTCTCTTCTATCTAAAAATGATCTTCTAATTTGATTTTTCTTAATCAAAATTTTATAAATTATAAAGCTTGACATAAATATATAAAAAAACTAGGGATGAGTATGTATCAAACCGATACCGAAATTTTCCAAAAATACCGAACCGAAAAAATACCGAGAAGGAACTGAACCGTACCGAACGGAATGGTCGGTACGGTATTTGGAAACGGTACGAGGTGACGTCCCATACCGAAAATCCCGAACCGAACATATATACTAAAATACTCCGTATTATAAAAAATAATGCCCCGTAGTAATATTTTTATATTCCTTGACTAAATAATATTTTTTTAAAAAAATTGGTTCAAGTTCTATTATGTGTAAATTATACTTTTATTTGAGTTTTAATTTTTTTTTATGAACATAAAAGTATTCACAAAGATTGAAAATACTCCTTTGTTGTCGTTTATTTTTTAGTTTATGAAATATAAACTAAGTTTTGATACACATCTCTTGCATTTAAATATTCATTTTTTTTTAATTTTTCATGTTGTTTTTATTTAAAATCACTTTTAATTTTCAAAAATGAAGGGGCGTTGTTAAATTTTAAGGTGTGAAGTATGTATGTATATTCATCCCGAACCATGCCAACCGATATTTCGAGATCGGGATCGATACGAGTAAAATTCCATATCGAACCGAAATATTTGGTACGGTATCGGTACGAGTTAAATAACGTACCATACCATTCACACCCCTATAAAAAACATTACTTAGGAGTATATCTTTATTATTTTGATATAAATGTAATACTAATAATTTTTTTGGGAAAGGTGATGTAATACGCATAATTTTCTTATGATAATAGTCTCTCAATGTAAAAGGTAAACTATTGGAAAAGAGGAGGAAGGCTTTACCATCTTCCCCAAGTCATCGCCATCTTCACTTGGTTTCGCCGACAAAGTTGGTTTCACTTTCGCCGGTATCTATACATTAGCGTTGATTTTATGCCCTTCATGTCAATTTCTACGAGAAAAAGTCCAAGTTTATTGGGACTTGGGAGTATCGTTTAAATTACTGCTTCCCTGTACAATTCGTCCGATTTTGGCTGTTCATCATGTAGGAACCAGATTTAAATCTTTCCTGTATTGTTGTTGGGAGCCACGCAATTGATTTGCCTACCACTTGCGTTGTTTAACCAGAGTTTGAGTTGGGTTTTGGGTTTTGAATGTCTAGCTGAAGCAGCTTGTTCTACCAATATAATGGATTTGAAAAAGGCTTTTCTTAGATTTGCTTTCTGTTTTTCCTATTTTGGTTGTTTGTTTGTTTGATTTCTTCATTTTTTATAACGAGTTCTGATATGTGCACCTTTTTTCCTGGTTATGTTTATTAGGTTTCTTGGAAGATTTGGAGGGTTGGTGGTCTGCACAAGGAATGGGGCCTATATACTATATCCTTGTTGCATTTCCATGTACAGTTGGTGCCATTGCGCTGGCCATTCTTCATATATATCGACACCTCTTGAATTACACTGAGCCTATATACCAGAGATATATTGTGCGCATCATATTTATGGTTCCTGTGAGTAACCATTTCTTGTCTTAGTTTTGTTCAATCAATCATGTGTTTTGGCAGATTTAGTTTATTTCACTTCTGCAGAATGATTTCAATGAAAATGTCATTTGATTATGATAATGGTCTAGCTCTCATATAAATGAAAGTGTCTTCATAAATTATTTGCGAAAGCGATAAATCACGACTTGGTCCTCCAACTACAATCCCTTATCCAGTTAAGTCTCTAAGTCTCCCCTTATCCAGTTAAGTCTCTGTCTTTTAAATGGATGAATTGATTTGTGAACTTAGATTTCTTCCTCAATTTTGTCATGTTTATCATTTGGATGTTGGAAAATATGGGAGGGTAGATATGCTATGTAGTAGCGTAAAGGGTTGGTAGGATTTGAATAAATGTATTAACTTCATGAATTGTGTATAATACACTTTCAAATTAAAGCCATTTCGGAGTATACCAAAATACTTCAATCGGATAAGACGTAAACTTCAAAACGAGTATGGAACGTTTGATATCTAAAACATACCATAAGAATTCTATATTTATAGAGAAAATTGGCCTAGTCATGTCTGTTGGTGGCTTGGTGCGAACCAACATGAGTGGTCGCCATACATTCGAATGTATGGCTTGTACATTTGAAGGCTGGACATCAGTTTGTGTGCAAATCATCGTGTGTGAAAGGAAAACATTTGAATGTTTCAAGTTACACATTCGAATGTAGGCCAAAACATTCAAATGTTTTGGCAATACATTCGAATGTTTAGAACTTCAGAGAGTTGCTGGAAATATATACATTCGAATATGACAGTTCCACATTTGAATGTACACATAGTTGTGAAAAGCCTATCAAGGTGCCAAGGGTCCTTTGTGCATCAATGCGCATTGTGCCTTAAACAACTATGAATTTACGTGTTTTTTGCAAATGTCACTGATGGTTAACACTAGATTCAAATATATTGTTGGATGAATTGATTCGCCGGTGGTTACTCTTACATTCAAATGTAGCTTACTTTTTGGATTTTCATAAAGCAACAATTGTCCAAAATAAAAAATTCCCAACTCAACCCCAATAAGGGGCATTGCCCCTTGGACCCCTGACCCCACCACCAGGTGTGCTTCCCCGGACTCCTCTAAGAAAATTGTAATATCGTTGAACGATCGTGTACTCCACTACTCTCCACCTCTGAACTCGTTAAAATTGTTTATTAACATTCTCGTTCTGTCTTAAGTAAACCCAATTATATAAAATAACCGATTCACTAAAATCACCAACATTGGATGTCGTGAAAAATGAGGCACAAATGAAGTGTTCTAATGCTATGGAAGCTGGAGACATTGATATAAGAAGGTAAATCTGTTTTCTCACGTGATTTATTCCAGTAACATCATGGTCCCCGATGACGCTCCTGCTTATTGTCCCACCTAAAAACACCATAAAACACGTGGCCACTTGGCAAGCTCCATAAACCAACATCTAGGGATTAAGCTAATAAGCTCCAGAGATGGTTCAATACGTCCATTTATACACTTGCGTTTTTGGAAGCCCCAAAAACACTTTACACTTACTTTATTCTCTATTTTGGTAATGAATGTGTACTTACCAGCAATTCTCTCTTCTCTAAGCAAATGCTATCCGCACACTTTTTACTTCTCAGCAACTTTCTTTAACTCCTTGAAGTCAAACTGTCAGGAATTTTATATGACTGAGGGAGTACTACTTTCTATGTAATACTCCCTCTGTTCAGAAAAGATCTTCCCAAATCCCTTTTTTTTCGTCCCGGAAAGATCTTCCCATTACCTTTTTAAATATTTGAAATACCACAACTAACCTCACTTTCCTCATTTATTACACCCCACCCACCTCAATTAACATACTTCACCCACTTTCATTAAGGGTAAAATGAACATTTACGTTGTTTTTTCAACTGTCCGTAAAACGAGTGAAAAGTAAATTTAGGAAGATCATTCCCTGACGGAGGGAGTATGTCTTTTATTTGGAAAACATGTTTACTGTTGTGGGATTCACCTGGGTTGTTGTTGTTGTTGTTTGTTTACAAACACATATTTTCCAAATTTACTTCCCAAATTTATTCGTTCACAGTAGCTGATGATATTGTAGTAGTTGGGAATTGGGATTACTACTATGGTAGAGTCTGGCAGTCACGGGATGGTTGGTGACTCAGCGCCGGCCAGCGATAGAGGCAGTAATGTTGTGGTGCTCGAAGATTTGAATTGGACCTAATGCAAGTTAGGAAATCTGACCATGGGAGCTGCAACTACACTCCCTTGCAGAATCTTCAATGGCTTGTTGACACCATACCTAATCTTCAAATTTTTGCCACAAAATTATGAAATCTGATCCCTTGAGGACTAAATTAGGAATTATTTTATCTTCTTGTCCTCAAGTTTTACCAGCCCTAATGATTAAAGTTACGAAAAACTAAATTGGGTGAAAACAATATCGAGACTCAGTTGGATAAGTGACAATAGTCGGAGGACCAAACCCACGTTTATATAATAGATTAGCTAAACATTTTTTTTATTTTCTCAATAATTTGCATCTTAATGCTAACTAAAACTTTGATAGAATATGACCACTTTTTTTTGGAATTTGAAACACCACATTGCATGATAGGAGCACCATTACTACCATAGTGTCATCCAATATTAGTTGCTGTTTATTAATAACCTTACCAAAATATTTCTTCATTATAGGTTTATGCACTGATGTCTTTTCTGTCACTTGTTCTGGACAAGAATGCAATATTTTTTAATTCCATACGTGAAATGTAAGTACATTGATACCTTTGGGGTGCAAATTGTATGATGTTTTATTTTTACTCCCATACATGGTATCCTCCACTTCTTTTTCATGCAGTGTATGCGTTCTGTTAGATATCGTGAAAAAAATATTTAATTTTTTATTTTTTTAAATTATGTGTATAATTTTATAATTTATTTCCTGATAAAGCAGCAATAGCATTGGGTGTACATTTGTTCTTTTTTGGGGGTTGTAATTACCAAGTAATAAATCTGCAAGAATGTGTACATGAAGAAAAGTTGATGGAAACATTGCTTTGTTATTGATATTAATATAATTCTAAAAAGTGGATTTTTTTGAATCAACCTATCCTCATATTAAAATGATTAAGTTTCTTTGGATATGCTAACAAAATATCTTCCTTTGTTTTTTCCGCGAAGTTTCCAGTTAGGCACTAACTTGATAATTTTCAAAATGAAAGCTATATGATGATAAATTAGTATAAAACCCCCCCTTCTTTTCCAACCCCCTTCCGCACATACCCTAAAAGTCTAAAACTGCCCTCAGCTCTCCTATATCCACGTCTTACCTTCCAGATATTGTACCTTCGGTTTTACTTAATATTGGGTGTGTCCTTAGGAAAACCCATCTGATCCATATTCTATGAACCTTAATCCGTGTATTATCATTTTAATGCGGTTGTTGTGTTTCTTGTTCCTACACATTTAGCTCAGCACCTCATCTCAATTTCATCCATTTTATGAATAACTTTAAAGTGATTCTTTATTCCAACAACTATGACACCATGTCCATATTATGGGACACATTTGGTTTTATTGTTATATATGGTTTATGGTGCAATATCACCGATAGATGTAATCGTTGTGGCCACCAACCTCGATATATATAATATGAGTTGTCACTCTAGGATAGTTGAATCCATATTAAAATATGAATATACATATAAATAGGTCTGGGACAAGTTATATTATGTCAACTCGAAGAAAACCGTGAGCTGTTGCCCACAAGTGAGGAGATTTTATTTATCTAAAGTGAAGGTTACTCAACAAAAGCTTTGGAAGTCATTCTTGGAGCTTCCCAAGATTTGAAGATGTAGAGTTTCCTAGTATGCATACATTGTAATATGTTACCCTTCTATTTTTTAGGGATCCTAAGTGTTGAAGTCCTTGGGAAAAAGGGAGAGGTTAGGGGCCAGAGCGTCTTTTGAAGAACAGTTTTCAAGCGAAGTCTAGGTTTTGTACTCTAGTCTCTAGCCTTTAAAATTATTCTGGTAACACCTAATGTCATAAACTAGTTGTTTGTATCAGTAACACCAATAAAATGCAAGCATAAGACATCAGCTTTCCTATCATTTCTTGTGCTCTGAATTTTAACAGAATGGCAATCCCACTCAATTTATTTACAAAATTGCCACCGCGACTTTATCAAATTTTTTAGATTTTTTGATGTTTAATAGCCCTTAGATCTTAAATCTAATGGATCGTATGCATTCTCATTTCTCTCACTGTGCATCATTCTTATTTGAACCTATATATATGTGTGTGTGTGTGTATGTGTGCGTGTGTGTGTATATATATGTCGGTGCCGAGAATGATAAAATCTCTCAAACATATTAACATGTTACATCGTGAACTTATTTTATAGCTTTCTAATGTCTATTTCAGATATGAAGCTTGGGTCATATACAACTTCCTATCTCTTTGCTTGGCATGGGTGGGTGGTCCAGGAGCTGTTGTGCTAAATTTGGTTGGTCGATTTCTAAAGCCTAATTGTTGTCTGATGACATGCTGTTTTCCTCAAATTCCATTGGACGGGTGAGTCTTTTAAAATGGAATCACTTTCTCTTTAGAGGTTAGTGGCTTGATAGCAACTGTGCAATTGTTTTTTGTGTGTTACTTGTATGAAATTGACTGAAAATCTCTGTTACTATTCATCTTAATGCATGTGTTGCTTTGAATATCTATTGAAGGAATTTTTGTTATCAGTTATCTTATGGCATGCATTTTTTTCTTGGTCTTTGACACACAGTTATTTTCTGCATTGGTGAAGTTCATCACTTTAATAATATTATTCCATCCATTGATTTTAAGCACTTCTATCTATTTCCTTTTTTTGCATTCAGTATTTCTCCCTTGTTTATTTTAGTGTGGTACATTTCTGATAGCATTGAAACTGTTCAGGCGCTTCATACGAAGGTGCAAGCAGGGTTGTTTGCAGTTTGTAATCCTCAAGCCTGTCTTAGTTGGAGTGACATTTGTACTTTATGCAAAGGGAAAATATGAGGATGGGAATTTCAACCCGAAGCAATCTTACCTGTATCTCACCATTATCTACACCATCTCATACTCAGTGGCTCTTTATGCCTTGCTGTTATTTTATGTAGCATGCAGAGATTTGCTTCAGCCATTTAATCCTGTTCCAAAGTTCATCATGATCAAGTCTGTTGTTTTTCTGACATACTGGCAGGTATAAACTACCCTTTGCGCAGGATGCTCAGGGACATACTTTCTAATTTCTTTATCGACATTACTTTTTTGTTTCATAGCAAAAAATGCTCATTCATGCACGAGCAGTTTCTTGTGAAACTTTTGATAATTTTTTAAACAAATTTGTTGGTGGTAGTGAATTAGTTCAAAAGGTCGATGGAACAATTGGTGGTGTTATCCTTTTGATGTATTAATATCTATTTTCAATTTTTTTAGAACTAATACCCAACTATAGGCTCTTGGAATTTGTTTGGTTGTATATTTTGATTGCTTGTGCATGTTGTATTTAGGATCGTGACGAACTTACGGACTGACTGACTGTACTTGCTAACTTTCTTTCATCAGGGAGTTCTTGTTTTCCTTGCTGCCAAGTCTGGATTTATTAAGGATACAGAAGCTGCTGCAAAGTTTCAAGATTTCATAATTTGTGTCGAGATGCTTATTGCAGCTGTTGGCCACCTTTATGCCTTTCCTTACAAGGAATATGCCGGTGCTAATATCGGTGTTTCTGGTGGCTTTAGTGCAAGCCTTGCACATTCTCTTAAACTAAACGATTTTTACCACGACACTGTGCATCAGGTGCATATCACGCGTGCTCTGTTTTTGGGGAATATTTAATTTCCCATCATATTCTCAGTATTCATTTCAATTTTTCCATCTCCAATGGAGCCAAAGGGTTCACTATTTTTTGGCTTTGGGGTATTATGGAATAAATCAAAATGGCTTTGGGGTATTGCGTTTCATTTAACGCTCATCATGGGTCACCTGGAAACAATCGCTCTATGTTATAAACACCGGGTAATGCTGTTGAATTCTCAATATTCATTTTGATCTGGTAATTGCAGTTTGCACCCACTTATCACGACTATGTGCTATATAACAATAGTGAGGGAGAAGAAGGATCAATGAAGTACAGGGCGCGCACATTCGTCCCAACTGGTACAGAGATGGACTCTGTTAGAAAAAACCAGAGTTTGTTCGGAAATAGGTTGGAAGATGTTCAGTTACCAGTTTTCTCCTCATCTTCGGGCAGCAGCAGTCCCGATAATCTGGACACCGATATGGTCCCTAGATCTAAAGCTGAGGCAACAATAAACTCTTCCGTAGAAGAAGTAAACACATTGAATGCACAATCTCTTCCATACGATCTCTCGGTCATTGATATTGAAATGTCTGATTACCCAACACAGGTACCCCCAGTGAATGAAACTGGTGTAAGGTGGGGATGAGTATGAACCTTGTGAATATTAATTACCTCACATTGGTCTGTATACTAGTTTTCTTTAATGCTCTTGTTACTGCTGTCATTCAATTGGCTTACTAAGTTTGAACGTTTAGCCTAATTTCTCCTTTCTCTGTTTACTGTTAATATTTCTTTGAGGGGTTAATTTGAAACCACTCATACACTGCTCCCTTACACTAGTCCAATTGGGTCACCCACGGTGATCCGTTTATAAAATTGATGATTCCTACTCTCTAACTACCCTAAACCCCTCACCCCAACCTATTATCCCTGCCCCCCCCCCACAATTCCTCATTAATGGTCAGATTTAAATTTGCCAAATGACGATTAAGGGAAAGGACAAGGGCAGAGAGAGTAGAAATCATCAATTTTACAAATGGGATATCACATGTGACCTATTGGACTGGTGTCGGAAATTGACACCAATAGTGGTGGTGTGGAGTCGGAATTTCTCTATTTCTTTTGTTGTAAATTGATGACACCTTAAATAAAGTTGTGGCCACTCCCCTTCTGAGGTTTAGATTAGTTTAGATTCAGATTGAAATCAAGTTATTTTTAGGTTTGGATTAATTTATATTCAAATTGAAATTATCATAACCCTAACCTTAAACATGAGAATTAGGGATGACCTAGCGGCCCGACATCTTTTTTACTCCCCCGTTCCAATTTAAATTGTTTGTTTACTATCTAAATGATTAAATTCTATTCACTTTATTTTCATTACGAATTTGATAAACCTAAATTTATAAATGACCAATAATAATGTTACTCCCTCCGCCCTATATTTAACTTCCCGGTATGACCGGAGCTCATTTTTTAGGAGGGATAAAAATTGTATTGACTTCCCAAAATGCCCCTAACTCTTCCACTCCTTCCAAAATCTCTTCAATAGAGTAGAATACACATCAACTAGAGGCACTTCCTAATCACACTCTTAAAGAAAAACAAAATCCAAAAAAATGAAATTAAAATTAAAGTGCATCTTGCAAATAATTCTAAATTGGAAAGAATGGATTTTTACAACACAGACCAGGGTGACAAAATTGAAACAAATCTAAACCACAACCAAATGGAAACAAATCTGATTCTTGCAGGCACAAAATCGTATCAATCCAGGTGACTTCAGGGGCACCCCATTTCAAGATCTGCGACAAAGAATTCGGCAGAGCTCGTCAACCATCATCGAAGTTCATCAATTTTCGAAAACATAAAAGCTTTGTCACCGCTAAAAATCGAGTTCGTTATTGCTAAATCTTTTACCCCCTCGTTGTTTTAGCCCAATAAACCGGAAGATGAAATTATTATTTTGAAAATAACCAAAGATGGAGAGAAAAGGGGCATCCCCTCCGTGAAAAAAATAGAGAAAGACGAAATGTGATGTAGATAAGATCTAAGGTTCTTGCCTTCTTGGTTGAAGAGAAGTGCAAAGGACAGAGGAGGTGAGATGATCGGATAAGAATGGGGGTGGGGGGGGGGGGGGGTTATTGATTAAATGTGGTTGGTAGTGGTGGGAGGTTGGAGAATTAAGTGTAAGGGTATTTATGTCTTTTGATAAGAGAAAACTTACTTTTTTTTAGAAAGTGAGAAGTTAATTTTAGCACGGCCCGAAAAGGAAAGTGTGAAGTTAATTTTAGGACGGAAGGAGTATTACTTATGGAGTACTAATTACAATAATATAAAAATCAGAGTTAAAATGAACTATCTTCTCCAAATAATATCTGAGTTGACATGTTTTGAAAAGTACATGGAGTAAATATACAAAGAAATGAGTGACAATTTCAGATATTTGAATCTTTTGGATATATGAAAAGTCAAAACATAGTTTAAATTTTATACTTCATATTACTACCCCTAAACAAGGTGATATGATATCTTTCGAGTTTAGAAAATATCGATTTAGAAATTGATATCATCTTTAATGGTTAGCCACCAATGTGGCCATTGGGCACCCTAGACGTTGACCACCCTTACCTGGCATGTCGTCCGCTTCCACCTAGTATCTTTGGTCATCTCTATCGTCGGTCCCATCTGAAATCTTGTTCTCTTCAACTTATTTTTATAAATCACACTCATTCGTGTTTATCAATAAAAGAACACCAAGAATACATTCCGTAACACATCGTTTGATTATTCAAAGAGTTTCTACTTAATCCCATTCTCATATCCCTGCAAGGCAATGTTTTGATTGTCAAATCCTTTTTTGCTTGAGTCGCCTATCCTTATTGCTTGAGAGATTAAACTATAGTCTATAGGAGGTCATTGTATTGCAGCAATCCACTCTTATGGGAGTAATTATAACGATATGTTTGCTTTGCTTTCTTTCGAGAAAGGTGTAAACATCTTGACATTGGGATTATGTCAAAGTGGGTTGGTAGAAGTTCTATTCGTTAGTGAAATCACAAAAGAAATTCTAAATCTTGCAAAATCAAGACTTCAGTGGAAAAATAAAAGACTTGTGAAATCAAATTCTCGAGCTATATGCTGGATTGTCAAACTCTGTTAAGTTTGACGTGTTGGTACTAAAGGCTCGAACACGATTGTTTGCGAACTGGATGTAGGCATTAGGCCGAATCTATATACTTTAGTTTTCCCTGTTATTTTCTGTCACTTTCTTATTCTTATAGTGCATTGGTTTTTATCAAGATTTGGTCAAGAATGCTTCCCCAAAAAATCAGCCATTTGGACAATACTTCTATTCACCCCCTCGTCTCTCATCTAGAGGTGTGCGTGGTGTACCCTTGATGAAGATGTAACTGACCAAGGATGAAGACTCAAACAATGTTTGGATTAGAAGCTTGTCATAAGCATGTTTTGTCAATGCAATAAAAGACGTTCTTTTGTTATTGATTGATGTAATCTTTATGAAGGTTTAATGAAGGGTTGTTACATGTAAGGCTCTTCAAGTTTAGGCCCGAACCGAAAAAATTGGCCGAACCGGATCATTAGGTCCAGACCAAACCCAGACCAAATGGATTTCAGGTTGGTCTTCGGTTTCAAAAGCTTAGGTGTTGGGGTTTCGTTTCGATCCGATCTAAACCCGAAATGATTTAGGTCTGGACCGAACGGACCTGTAATCTAATTGGACCTAAAAGATCTAAATACTAAAACTCTACTTTTATGTTCCGTATTACACTTTGATGCTCTATTTTAATAGATATCTTAATTTATTTAATCCAAAAAGTTTTTTATCAAGTAATTTAAACAAAATTTTTTAAAAAAAGTTTACATTAGTTTTTATGATTCTACATAGAAGTAGTTCATGTTGTGTATCTACTTTTAGATTGTCTATTTTTTATTTTTTCTATTTGCACACTACAAAATAACAAGCCTAAAAATATATTAAATTGATCAAAATAATTAAAAAAATTATTTGGTGCAATCGGTCCAGACCGGTTTGGTCCTAAGTATTTCAGTCCGGTCCAGTCCAAACCCGAATAGATTTAGGTTCAGTCTTCAGTCCGTGATTTTATTCAATATGGTCTTCGATCCGGTTTGGGTAAATCCAGTTTGGTTCGGGTCTATCCTGTTTGGTCCGGTCTTGGATTGGTGAACAACCCTAGTTACATGGATGAGGGTTTCACAAAGTGGTAAAATTTGCTTCAAATTGTATAATACGGAGTACTTTTTTGTGTCGTTTATTGCTTTGTTCACTTTTCTTTGTGTGTGTGTTTAGTACTATGAAGATGTTGTAACACTCTGTCTGTCATCTACTTGAACTACAACATCATCACGATATTTTGTGTTCTTAATTCAATCTTCTCACTTGCGCTAAATTTATTTGGGGTATTCACACGACCCATCAAATATTTCATTAACAAACATCATTTCAGGTATTTTCAATGATCTTTATTTTAGATTTTAGAAACTCGTATCATAAAACTTTCATTTGGTGGTCGCTCATCCCGTCAAATGCGAATTTTCTAAGCTTTATTATAAAACACTGCGTATTTATGAATTAGGATTTCAATAAAAACGAGTCGGGTTTGACTTTTTGACAGATTGGGTACCTTATAAATACACGCAAGGCTTACCTTCTTATGAGAAGAGCATAGTTGTTTGTCAAACAAAAAATGTTCTCTCTTTTTGAATGCAAAAAAAAATCTCATTCTATTTAAGGAATGAAACTAGTGCTTCATATTCTTCCAATGAAATTAGTGCTTCATATTCTTCCTCTCTTCTCTGCATAAATTGTTACTTCGTATACAGAATTTATTTTTTCTTAAATTATGAACTAGTCAACATGAGAAGATCCATCTGAGACAGAAGAAGAGAAATCAATCTTGTTTGGAAGGTTATTGCATATAATTTTGGGAGCGTCTAAAATGACATACTTATACACCAGTTGCTTACACTAGTTCGTTTGAGGTACCTACGGTGCCCCGTTTGTAAAAATGAGGGTTCCTCACCCCCTAAACCCCCCACCCCACCCTTGCCCCCTACCCCAATCCCCCTCCCGCCCCCTCCCTACCCTGAATGGGGCGGGAGGGGGGCTGGGTTAGGGGGGAAGGCTGGGGCTGTTGTGGGGGGTTTAGAAGGAGGGTTAGGGGAGGTAGGAACCATCATTTTTACAAACGGGACACCGTGGGTACCCCAAACAAACTGGTGTAAGCAAATGACACCAGTAGCACTGGTGTCATTTTAGATTTACTCTATAATTTTAACATTTTCAAAATTAATTTAAATTAGGGACATACTATTCTTACAACAATACTTATATACAACAATCCTATAACAATTTAATTAGGATATATACAATATTTCATTTGTGAAATTGATAGTTTCTACTCCCCTAACATATTCTTCTATGCCCTCATCTAGCCTTACCCCTTACCCCTACCCCAACCTCGTTGCACTTCACTTATCCCTTAATCACTATTCTGGAAATTTAAACTGCCAAAATAGTTATTAAAGGAGGAAGGTGGGGTTAGAGGGTGTGAGCTGAGTGAGGAGGTTCAATTAAATAAACAAAGTACAGTAGGTTCTTCAATCAAATTATTACGGAGTATATGATTGTTGTATTTTTTTGTTGTTGTAAGTTTATCATTTCTCTTTAATAATGAGGAAGAGTAATCTTACACCAAATGTTTGGCGTAAGATTGTTACACCAATTTAATTGGAGCACCTATGGTGCTCTGATCATAAAATGGATTGTTCTTATCCCTCCTAATTCTCCGATAACCCCCCCTCAATTTTATGAACGGAGCTCCGTAGGAGGGCAGTGGCTTCCGTGGCCACTGGATTCCAGTGGCCATGAAACCGGGCCGATTCAAAATTGCAAGAATCTTTGTTCATTTTTGTATTTTTATTGACTATTTCAAGAAATAAAATATTCTTGTCACTTCTTATATTATATCCCGAAGTAGAATTTTTAATGTACTATTTAAATATGTATATTTTATTTTTTTTATTTATATGCCAGTTTTATAATAAAATAAATTTAAAAAAATTTAAAATTTTATTTCATTTTGTGGGAAGAGTAAATGATTTAAAGACGAAATGAGTATTAAAATTTTATTAAGATATTAATGCCCTTAATCTTTGCCCCAATACTCCGTATTATCAAAACAACCTGCCGGATCCACTTTTTGGCTGCTTGGGTCCCTTCCAAACACGAGTCTTCTCCACCTGAGTCCTGAGCCTCTTGAGGCCGCTACTGTGGAGCTTCCCTCTCGTCGCCTCCGTCATTCTCTCCCATCTTTCTGCCTCAACATAGAAACCCACGAAAAGCCCACCCTCTCGCCGCCACTGGGCACCACAACCGGAAAAGGGCTCCACTGTCCGAGGTATTTGACCTCGAACTCGGTCAAAGGCACGCCATGTGGGGTGGCCGGCACTTCCGGGAGCCGGGTCCGACCAGTGTCCGGCCGCGTCCCGCGCACGATTTCTCCCCAGGTTCGCTCATCACGTCTCCTGCATTACTAGACTGATTCTCACTGCACATTTATCATTTCCTTTTTTTTCTACTTCTTAAAAATAGATTCTTTCCCAATGGGGAGGAAGAAGATGAGAACGAACGAGGCTCCGCTGAGCCAAACGGCTACCGTGTGTTGGCGGGAGGAACTGGAGGAGAGAACCCAGAAACTCAATTCTGGGATTTGGGACTATTCTGACCCCTATTGCATGTCTAACTTATGGGAGAGCTTGGAATGTGGGAAGTATGGGAGTGTCACAAGTGAAATTGAGGAGCTTTTGTCTCAGAGCAGACTCTACATTGATTCTTGCTACGCGAGGGATCCTACCCTTCTGTGTAAAATCATAGAGATGGAGTATAGTTTTACTGCGGAGGGAAAGGGGGGCCGAAATGGTGCTGGTGTGATTGATTTGGAGGATGATCATGTTGCGGTAAACGTTCCGTTTTCCCGCTTTGTTCCTGCTGCACAGCTTGCCCCTTCGGCTGGCCCTGTTGTTATTATTGATTCAGACGATGAGGACACCGCGAAGCCTATTTGCACATTCCAGGGAATCCTCCCCGTTACTACAGCTGGGAGCACTTATTTAATGAACAATGTGGTAGGTCTTCCCATGGATGATAACAGATTAACAAACAAAAGCAGTCTATTTTTCTTTTTTCTTTTTTTATTTTATTATTTACTTTGGGACGAGTATAAGCGTCTGAATAACAGTGGTTTGTGTATTGAGACTTATTGATGCATTTACCATGCCATACTCAACTTTTACAAACAGAACTACCAGTTGGAGCATGGACCTAAAGCTTTGGCAGTACAGTCTTTTCAAAATACAGGTAACTGCTGGCATGGCATTTATTTGTTTCAAAGCTTGAGGAGGAAATCAAACTACTTTTGATAGTTAAATTTCCATTATGTAGTTTACATGGGCGCTTCTGTTGAGGCACTTAACTCTTTAATACTTGTAAGTTTTCCTCCATTTGTTTGCTTTCAGATATGTTATTTTCTCTAGTTATGTTATCCAGTTGATATAACATAATGCAGATTGATTTATGCTATTCTTCCTCAAAATACTTCAGTTTCAACTAAGTGTTGAATACTCTGAAAGAAGCTTGCATCTAATTTATTTGTTCCATATTTATTTACTTGGGATTGTAGAGTTCAATACGTTTCTCTATATATTTGCGGGAACATATTTTTGCATGCCCTTCCCATTTCTCTCTATTTTCTCCCTATCTGATGTAGGGACGGGATTCGGCTGGAAACAAGTTGCCAATGGAAAGTGAAACTGAAAAACCTAAGGACAAAGGCTTGTATGTTGGGGTAGAGGATGATTCAGAAACAGAAGAAGGAAATGATGCTAATTTTGATGGGTTGGATGATATCTGGAACGAAATGTCTTTTGCTATAGAGTCCTCAAAGGTATGCTTGTTGGTATTGTATTCGACTACACCAAGGAGTTATTGTTTTCCCCTGATCTGCACTTTGCATTTGTTAGTGGTTGAGTTGTTTATCTTGGGATGAGTACTTAATCCATGGTCAATCTTTATAATTGTATATCACATACAGATCTTACGATGACCATTTTCTTTTCTATATCTAGTATTTTGTTTGCTGTGTTTCGTTTATTTTGGGTGTTGAAGACTTCGCTGCATGTGACAATAACATTGTACACTGTCTTATATATATGCACCATATATTGAATTTTCCTAATGTCAAAAGGACATGGCTGCGGATGCTTCTTTGGATGGGGATGCAGAAGAAGATGAAGGATGTGATCATTCTTTCATCCTAAAAGAAGACATTGGATCTGTATGTCGCATCTGTGGAGTTATCAAGAAAAGCATAGAAAGCATAATTGATTACCAATACGCAAAGGTGTGTTGTTCTGTAATGCATCTTCCTTTACTTTCAGGAAATTCATAAATAATTTGTTTTGTTATCTATTGTCTAATACTCCTTCCGTCCCTAAAAGAAGTTTTGGTTGCAGTTTACGATGGTTGATTAAAATTATTTTCAATCCAATTTATTTACATATAGGTGTAAAGTTTTAAACTAAAATTTATATATATATATATATATATATATATATATATATATATAAAAGCTAGAATCAAAATCTCTCTATAAGACAAGAGGTGACATGACTGTTTTATTTTATCAAATGATTAAAAAACCAAGAAGTCTTCAATGATTAAAGAAAATACTACATAGTTTGACCATGTGAATAGTGAGAGCATGACGATGTTCTGAGGACGGATGGAGTACATCCTTCCCTTTTGAGGGTTTTGAGGAATTATCATTTTGAAAGATGGGAAACTCTATGCATCAATTAATGAGTTTGTAATTGTTACAGGGCTTCCCCTCGAAATTAAATTATTGTGAGGCTGATAGGAAATTTTCTAGATAGTGTGAGTCTGTAATGGTTTGGGTAATTGGATCAAATGATCGGTATTCCATTTGGTCAATTAATTACATCTGAATTCCCACTTTTGATCATTCTCTATCAATTCGTCCATTTTTGTCCCTTGACATTTTCAAATGCTCCAAGTTTGGTGTAAAAAATTAAAAAAAATACATTTGCATGAAGAATGCAAAAAAATGTTAAAGTGAGGGTATTTCAGACAATTCTAGCCTTAATTTGCTATATGCCTATATCTGAGAAAGTTAAGGGAACACAAGTGATCAAGTTGATTATAAACACTATAACTTGAAATGCCATTATATGTACACTTGTGCGAAGTGGAACAAATTTTCACTTTTCTTAATGGCAAACAACTAAACCCCAGCTTCTCTATGTTTTGACTTTTGATTCATTTCTTATTTTGATCGATGTTTATATTTGAGCCACCCCAATGATTTGGGATCAAGGACTGGTTGTTGTTAATTGATGGCTATATTTGGATGAAACTGAATATTCATTTGTGTCATGTTGTTTAGACTGACATGTGCAAAAGTCCTCTTCTTTGTGCGCGCTAAATTTATATTCATTCATTTTTAAAACATGGACTTTAATTTATTGACTGAAGGGTATTTTGTATGTTTTAGACCGTAAAGAGTGCAAGAACGTATTATTATGAAGGTCGAACAGCCAAGGACTCAGGGCCAAGTGAGAATCTATCTGAGGTCCTAAAATCATCTCAAGAATTTGCAGTTGCCGATATTTCTGCCCATCCGAGGCACAAAAAACAGATGAAACCACATCAAGTTGAAGGGTTCAATTTTCTGCTCAACAATTTGGTGACTGACAACCCTGGGGGCTGCATACTGGCACATGCTCCTGGTTCAGGGAAGACCTTCATGATCATTAGTTTCTTACAAAGTTTCATGGCAAAGTATCCGGCTGCTAGGCCTTTGGTGGTGCTGCCTAGAGGAATCTTGTCCACATGGAAGAAGGAATTCATCCGGTGGCAAGTGGAGGATATTCCCCTCTACGATTTCTACTCTGTGAAAGCCGACAATCGATGCCAACAGCTGGAAGTTTTGAAGCAATGGGCAGAGGCAAGGAGCATTCTCTTTCTTGGCTACAAACAGTTTTCAGTAATTGTGTGCGACCATGATACGGGCAGCGCTACAATTGCATGCCGTGAGATTTTGTTGACTTGCCCATCAATTCTTATTTTGGATGAAGGCCACACGCCAAGGAACCAGGATACAGATGTTTTGACTTCACTGGAAAAGGTTCAGACGCCGCGCAAGGTTGTTCTGTCCGGGACACTTTACCAAAACCATGTCAAAGAAGTCTTCAATATTTTGAACCTTGTTCGTCCAAAGTTTTTAAAGCGTGAAGAATCTAAGTCAATCAAGAGGCGAATATTGAGCAGAGCATCGATTTCAGGCAAAAGGAACATAATAAAGAAAGGTTCAGATAACGACTTCTTTGAGTTAGTGGAGCACACACTTCTGAAAGATGACAATGTCACTAGGAAGGCCACAGTTATCCAAGATCTAAGGGAGATGACGAGCAAAGTTCTCCATTATTACAAGGGAGACTTCTTGGATGAACTTCCCGGGCTCGTGGATTTTACAGTAATCTTGAAGCTCCACCCTAAGCAGAAAAGTGAAGTTGCCGAGTTGAAGAATTTGAGAAGAAAATTCAAAATAAGCGCCGAAGGGAGTGCGTTATATGTGCACCCTCAGTTGAAGAATCTCTCCAAGAACACTGGTGCTAAAGATAGGATTGACGTAGGGAAGATCGATATGCTTCTAGACACTTTGGATGAACGAGAGGGAGTGAAAGCTAAGTTCTTTCTGAATCTTTTGGCATTGTGTGAATCCCACGGAGAAAAACTCCTTGTGTTTAGCCAGTACCTTTTGCCTTTGAAATTCTTGGAGAGACTGACAATAAAAGTTAAGGGCTATTCTGTTGGGAAGGAGATTTTCATGATCACGGGAGATTCGGATAACGAAGTGCGTGAGGCTTCAATGGAACGGTTCAACACATCCGCGGATGCCCGTGTTTTCTTCGGCTCAATCAAGGCCTGTGGTGAGGGAATATCACTGGTGGGCGCATCACGGATCATCATACTGGATGTCCACTTGAACCCATCAGTGACCCGGCAAGCAATAGGGCGTGCATTCCGCCCCGGTCAACTCAAGAAAGTATACACCTACAGACTGGTGGCTTCTGGCACGCCGGAGGAGGAAGACCACACAACCTGTTTCAGAAAAGAATCCATAGCAAAGATGTGGTTCGAGTGGAACCAATACTACGGTCTGGACGATTATGAGATGGAGAAGCTGGATCCGAAACAATGCGAGGACGAATTTCTGGAAACAGCAAGGTTTTCTGAAGACATTATTGCCCTCTACAAAAGGTAAGTAACAAAAAGAATGGTTTCTCTGGGTTTTTTTTGTTTTGAGTTATTAATTTAGTGCAGTTCATTTCTCAAGACTTTGTGTTGACTTGTTGGTTTATATTTTGTTGCCAGATAAAGGCGTGTTTGGGAAGTAGGGGCAATGTGCATATATATGAACTCGGATTATGGTAGGCTATATATATAGTTGGGTTGATCCTTGTGACTTCGTTTTGTCATAGAAAGCTTAAGTGTAAAGCTTCAACATGAATGGCTACTTTTGAATGATTTTTGATCCTTCTAACTTATGGTATGGCATTGCTTTGAAATGTTCATGTTTCTAAAGTAAAACAATTGGGTCTTTTGGTCCCAATATAAATGTTTTTTAGTTGAGTTTTTATTTATCTTTATTATATTATTCATACCTAGAGCATCATTTAATTTATGGGTAAAATATGTTTTTGGTCCCTGTAGGTGACTTTTTTTAGTCCCTGTAAAATAAATTTTTTGTTAAACCATCCTTACAAAATTTTTTGTTTTTAAAATGGTCCTTAAACATAAGTTTTACTTTTAATTTATTGAGATAATACTTTTATTTTGTACTGAACATTCTAGTCTTACATTTCTACTACCTTTGATACAATTCTCATGCCCTAAATTATCTTTATTTATATTACACCTCCAATTTTCAATTTGTTAGGAATATAGTACAATAAAATTTGGGAACTGGGGATTTAATTTGATGAAGACGACGACCTATGTCATGAAAATTGTGTCTGAAGTATTTAGAAATGCAAAATTAATATGTTGAGTATGAAATAAATGTGTTATCTTAACAAATTAGAAATTTAAATTATGTTCAAGGACCATTGACAAAAAAATATTTTACAGGAACCAAAAATAAAAAAACACCTATTTTACAGGGACTAAAAACATATTTAACCCTTTAATTTATTCACACTTTTTGCTCATTTTTGTTTGATGGAATTCTTATTTTACTCCCGTCCCAAATTCATTCACCAGTTACGAAATAAATATAATGAACTTTTGCAACCAGTTAGCTTGAAGGTAAAATGATTTTTCCAAAAGCTAAAAGCTGAAGTATTATATATATTTGCTTCCCCAAAATGATGTTTTATGTGCAAAATAACGATAGAGAAAAAACATAAGTTTATATGTCAAATAGACTAAAACAGTTACCACCTAAAACAGAAACTAAATTCTTAAAAGCATCACACTCTCAAACGTCATCTAAGAATGGTCAATTATTCACATCCCATAAGTTAAAATTTGTGATGAAAAAAAATTGTGATGAAGATATAAATTATATAAATTGCAGTGTCAATATTTTTGTCATTAAAAGGTACGTGAATATAAAGTAAATAAACTATAAAAAAATAAAAGTGAATTTTAATAGCGATGGAGAAAAAACATAAGTTGATATGCCAAATAGACTAAAACAGTTGCCACCTAAAATAAAAGCTAAATTCTTAAAATCACCACACTATCAAACGCCATATAAGAATTGTCAATTATTCACATCCCATAAAAAAAGTACACAATTGGTCGGACGCAATTAGTAAAAATATTTAGTTAAAATTTGTGAAGATATAAATTACATAAATTGCAGTACCAATATTTTTGTCATTACAAATAAAAGTGAATTTTAACCATAAAAAAAATAATCAAACCTATATATCATTTTTAAAAAATCTGTTTGGCTCAAAATAATATCGTTTTGATGATTAGTGTTTGCTGATCTTATTACTCGGGGGTATAAAAGCAATTGCTCAAGGAATTGCTTTTATACACTATGTTTGGTTCAAGGAATTTGAGAGGGAAAGGAAAAGAAAATGAAAAGGAAAACATTTTTTCTTGTTTGATTAGAGAGGAAAAGAAAAGAAAAGTGGAAGGAAAAGAAAATGAGAAAGCAAAATGTATTAAGAGGATGGAAAACCAAATTCCTCCCATTTTGGTGAGGAAACTAATGGAAAATCATTTTCTTTTCTTTTCCTTCCAAATTCCATGAACCAAACATAGTGTTAAGGAATTTGAAAGAGAAAAGAAAAGAAAAGTGGAAGGAAAAGAAAATGATAAAACAAAATGTACTAAGTGGGGGGGAAACTAAATTCCTCCCATTTTTGTGAGGAAAATAAGAGAAAATCATTTTCTTTTCTTTTCCTTCCAAATTCCTTGGACCAAACATAGTATTAATAAAAACTTTAAAATCAAATCACTAGGATTTTTCGAAGTCAAATATCGTAAACCGAAACAAGCAATTTAAATTGGGACGGCCGGACGGAAGGAGTAATAAATAAACGTATGCTTCAAAGTATTACTAGAGCAATACTACATGCTTCTCAATGAGGGGGCATCCCGCAGATAGTTGTTACTCCGTATTATATAAACAAAACAAAATGAGAAAAAAATGAGCGAAAACTATTCATGAAATGCAAATATTAGATGAGTAGTGCGACGAAAGTGTTTTGGTCTTCTCTCTCTCTCTCTCTCTCTCCTCTCACGAGCGCTAGTCTCAATCCTCCTTGCGGCGAGCTAGAATTGCACGGTGTCTAAGCTCGGCCTTTTTCCACTTAACGATCATATGGCACAAAGAAAATAGTGTATTCACCTGAGAAGGGAAGGGAAGACAGACATTGAATGGATGATGGGGGTGACATTATGAGGCGAAGCGAGCATGAGAGTGGGGAAAAGGGGGGAATGCAGTGAGAGACGAGAGTGTTACCAAGATTATGATTGCAATGACCAAAAGAGGCCCAGACCAGAGTGCTGAAATAAAGACGCCGTGGGGATCAAAATAATTCTGTTTAGCAAAGCTTTTCCAGTTTGCAGCCAATAATTTGTTCAGATTCTCTGCAAAGTAAACTCCTCCCACTGCATTATATCCCAGTTTTAGTCATGTGTTCTAAAATGCTACATACATAGATTGCAAAACGGCACACACACACACACACATGCTAGCAAATATGGTACAGTGACATTAACAAACAACAACCCAGTGTAATAATCCCAACAATGTTTGTATTTGGGGGGGAGGGGGGGTCAAGTGGTACGTAGTCTTACTCCGAGAGACTGTTTTTCTTAGACCCTAGATACAGTGTGCTTGCTTATTCATCAGAATGGTAAAATGTATGGAGCATTTCTTTGTTAATGAATACAGTTCAGCTACCTTTGATCGTTTTACCAATGGACTACATCAATTCTCAGTTAAACTAAATTCAGTTGAAAGTTCTAACAGGGAAAAAAAAGAATGTCTGGTTATCCATCAGTAAGCAACATTAGCCCTTGGTAATTCAGGTTACGTTTGATTAAGAAATAGTGAACTTACAAGCAAAAAGGAATAACACCATCTGAAAATTGATGTTCTTCCTTGAGAAGAGTGTTAGTAGCAATACAGCGCCATGGAGGGAAAGTAACCCTACTAACCAAGGTTCCTGCATATGTAAGTGGGAGAAAACACCTAAGGATAAGAAAAGAACACAGAAACGCAAAGTAAACAAAGATCTTTCAGCTGTTAAAAGAGTAAAATGTTATACCCAGGATCCCAGGAAAATAGAATGCAGATTAGATAAAACATTGATGAAATTGCAGCAGCATTTTATTTTTGTATAACAACTCCATGGCTATCTACTAGGCAATCGTAGGATAAAAATCCATACATTTTATATTTATTCTTCCAAATCAGATATTGACCAGCAAATAAGAAACAGAAACCAGAAGGCAATAAGAGTAATATGATGAGAATAAAAGCACGGAACACGAAGATAAAATCAGAAGAGAAAGATAGCACGTGAAGAAAATATAAACATTTCAACACAACCAGGGGTACAATCTTTCAAAAATAGCCTCTCTACCTTTTCTAGGTAAAGGATATGATGTGCATAAAACCACCCTCAGACCACACTCGTGGGACTTTACTGGTTGGTTGTTGTTATTTGGCACATATAAAGTGATATAAGGGACAATAAAACTATCCCACAGTTACATTAGCAGAAGACAGAGTTGTTGCATACCAAAAACAATTGTTCTTACTATTCCCTCCTCCAAATTAGTGTCTCCCTTTGCTTTTTTGGCTAGCTCAATAACTCAATTTCATATTACCTCATCAGTTCTTTATATGAAAAGAGCTATGTGGTTTATGTTCTTCTCCACCTATTACATACTCCCTCTGTCCCAGTGTTTTTCTCCACTTTCTTTTTTACACATCCACCAAGGGTGAATTTTGGAGGAAGTTACAAAAGTACCCTTACTCAGACTCAAAGGCATGTGTTAACTGTTTCTGCACTGAATCACTGGGCAGTTTGGCATCTCTCCTTTGCAATTGATTTCTCCATTTTTTCATTCTCCTCTTGAAGCGAGCAATCTTTTGATCTTTTCTTTCAGATCTTGATCTTGGAAAAAAGAAGATGAAGAGAAAGAGAGAATGACAGATATGCTGTAAACTGTAAATACGCACATCCTTATCATTGGACTTCCCTCTTCTCAAACCCTCTTTTGAATTGGGAAAAGCTCTGGCGAAAATTATGATGATCATTTACACTACTGCTTCGTTTTTTTTGTAAAAAGATTTCTATAACTAAGCTTTCTCCAATTTGGTTCAGGTTGTAGGCTGTGTTTAGCCCTAAATTGGAGTATCTCTGATGGAGGAAGAATACCTGTGCTCACCGCATCTACTGATTTTACAATACTCTTAGTTTGGCTATTTTGACTGGTGAGGGTATATATGTCATTATAACACTTATTATTTTACCAAAAATAGATACTCGACGAGAATGCTGCGACGGACATACTCTGTATATCACAATCACACACCTTCACTTTCTTAATAATTGTGCCAAAAGCATATGGAAACCTAATTTGGGGATGACATTGTTAAAAAATGTTCAAACAGAGAATAATACCGTCCAATGAATGGCGTGGAAGAAGCCCATGAAATTCTCGTAGGCGGGTTTTAATCCAGAGCGAAGCTCGGCAGAAAATTTCTCGACGAGATCTGCCATTTGGTCCATGTGGGTGTTCAGGGCAGAGGTCAGCTCATCCATTTTCCTGTCAAACTAGGGTTTCTTGATCCGATCACTGTAAGAGGGGATTTCCTTCTGCAATAAAATGACGTCTGGAATTAGAGAAGGTGGAAAACTTTAGATTGCAGCTCCTCAAAGAAAGGAAACACTCTCTTTATATGATCAACTTTGTGATGAACTATAAATAGCAATGTTATTAAAATATGCTACGGGAATTAAACAAGACCAATATACGGTAAAACAATAGTATACTTGGTTAATAGTCTCTTGATGAAAGGGCATATCTGGGTTGTTGTTTTTGTAGGTAAAAGAACATATTGGATGAGAATTAGAAGAATACAGGGTAAACTATCTTCCATTTCATTATCTGCTAAAGAGCAGGATCACAGATAAATTTATATTCAAGTATTTTTTTTCATATTGGAACTAATGCATTGGAGATAAATAAATGTATCTAAGGTGATAATCTGGACTCTGGAGGCCTACAATGGAATACTGGCACTAAAGAGTAATCTACTGCCGTAGCCATTTACTCACAGCAGTAAGACTCATATAATCATACATTCATACAAGCTTCAAAATTCTAAAACAAAGCTTCATCTCTACTCATAGACCATAATATCACACTCCTTCCATCTTATGGTAAACATAATCACTTTTGGGTTTTGCAATCTTCCATATTAGAAGGATTAATCTGCTAAAAGTCTAACAATGGCATTCCAAGATGATCGATTGGTAGAAATTCAAAAGATCTTCATTTTGCTTTCGGGAATATACTGATATTTTATCTGTGCAGTTAAAAAAAAGCTAAAAATCTCAAACCTGAACTGGAGATTAAAGAAGACAGAAGACAAATCACACAATCGACTCAGGGGCGGAGCTTGGGGAGGGGGAGCTGCCTGGTGGCGAACGGCCAAAGGTCCGGCGATCGGGTCTCCACTCTGCTCGGATGCACTGACCCACGAAGAAGATGAACACTTGAGAACAGGAGGCGGTGGGAGATCTGAAGACGTGATCGCGCGGTTGAGGACGGACGGAGGAGCCGCTGCTCCGCTTGTCGCTCTTGTTTTGTTATTCAAAACAAGTTATTCAAAAATCAAAATATATCCAAAATAATTATTCAAAATCATATACAGTAGAAATGAAACATGGCTCTATTTCTAAAATAGAAGTTTCATATTTCTATCTTTATACAGAGTAATATAAGTTTATACGTGGCACTGTATATGAACATCGAGATGGTTAATATGTCATTGCTCACCAATTAATAGGAAGATTGACGCAATAGAAGAAGCAATATAGGTTACTATCTCTGATCGAGGTGTAAATTTACCAACTCTGAGGTTATACTTGGCCATAATCTCAGAAAATTACTCACGGGTGACGCGAGTTTTGTTGAAATAACTCTCAGGTCCCTCTATTTTCAAAAAATAGAGCAGAGGTCCTTACATTTTGTTGTAATGACTGGAAAGGGACATTTCATCCAATATTTCATCTATAAACGTTAATAAATGTATTTCTTTCCTATTCTTTTCTAAATGTTTTAAGGTAATAAATCTTAGGTCGCTCCTTTTTTTATTTTTTTGTTTTTCTTTCATTTTGTTACTATTTTTTTAAAGTGTTATTTTATAATTTCTTCTATAAAATCGTATAAAAATTCAAAATTGTTTGTATTATATTAAAAAAAATGAAATAAAAAAATTTTAAAAAAAGAAAAAACAAGGTAATGGCAAAATAGGAAAAAAAAGTATTGGAAAAATAGGAAAAAAGTTCATTTATTAACACTTACGGATGATGTATTGGATGAAATGTCCTCTCTCAGTCATTACAACAAAATATAAGGACCTTGGTTGTCTTTTTGAAAATAGAAGGACCTGAAAGTTATTTCCACAAAACTCGCGTCACCCGCGACTAATTTTCTGCCATAATCTTGAAACATTGAAGTAAGAGTCATCAATATTTCAAATGAAGCAGTGTAAGAGCATCAGCTCATCCTTAACATTACTGACCAATGTCATATGAACCGAGGTGTATTAGCATTTCACTAGATTTTATTAATACTCCCTACTATTTGTTGATATTATTGGCCTTGTAATTTTTATTTTGAAATTCATATTTTGATACTTAATTTTTGTTTTACTTGTTCATTAGCTTCATTTTACCCCATATTGTAATCTTGAATAAAAATATAATTACACGAGCAAAAACTCTTATCATAATGAATCCTATGATTTTTTTTATTGTTATTGAATCCTGAAATATACTAATAATGGGCATATAAAGTAACTTGAGTAATAAAGTCTTATGCTATGAACACATAAGAAGGTAAAGAGTCAATATGTTGGACTACCAAGAAAGTAAACACTCCTAAAGAAGTTAAAGCAAGACCTAGTTAACAATGAAGCGAATTATTCAGTGTCATAAAAACATTGATACCCGCAACTTAGTCGTCCTCCTGGTGAAATATGTGCATCTAAAAGATCTTTTGTACTATGTCCAATTCCAAAATTAGTTTTATACATAAGATATGACAAACAAAGTTTATTTGCTCATACTACATGATTTGTAAAGCATAATTCCTACTCCACAATTCATATTTTATCTACACAACAAAGTTCTTTAACATTAACAAAATGGAAAAAAAATTTAGAACAGAAAAAAGAATTGAGACATTTTTTTGAACCAGAGGAGAGTACAAGGGTTCTCATTTGCAATCTCAAATGTGGACAATAGACCTTGTTTATCATTAGCTTTACTGTTTAGCTTCAAAATTTTAAAAATGAACCAAGGCTTACAAAGTTTAAAAGAGAGCGATTATGAGAAAACCCTTTATTTTAAAAAAAAAAATGAAATAAATAAGATGTGAAGTTTAATCTAATCGGACTCCAAGATCATGTTTTTTTAGTTGGAATTACAATGTTGAATATTGAAAGAAAGTGGAAAGAATTGAAAAAATTGGAAGTTGGAAAAACTAAAAAGAGTTAAAAAAAATGTTGAAAGAATTAAAGTGTTAAAAAGTTCACTCAATTAAATGATTATCCAAATAAACAATGTAAGAAAACTTTAATTTTGAATTTAAAAAATATCATCCTTGTCTATATTCATGGTAATATGTTACTCCGTATAAATTTAGATATATAATGTTAATATATATTTATAATATATAAATACTCGATATCTTTTTTAAGCATTGTTAGAAGAAAGTGGAAAGAGTTAGAAAAATTGAAAGGAATTGGAATAAATTAGTAGTTAATAAAAATTGGAAGTTTATTTTTTCAACTCAAAAAACAAGACCAACCAAACACCGGATTAAAAAACGGTTATGAAAATCTTACCGGAACCTCTCAAGTCTTAACAGTAATTCAAACTTCTTCAGGAACATGAACTGATACCAATCAAACACACCAAAAAATTTAAAAATACAATGAACATGAGATGAATATCTCAACCCTAGGCTCAGTTTGGTTCATCTAAAACCCTACTAGAAAAACAAATACCACTAACCAATGAAAAAAGCAAACACATTAAGAGACTCCTCCAAAAAAAAGGAACAAACAAACACAAAGAAACAATGACAATACAGTTCTCGACGAACACCTTCTACAAACTTACAGTCAGGAAGAAATGAGGGCGTTATAGAGAAATCACACGTTTGACGAGTAGCCCGAACAATAGTGGAATCTGGAGTCTGGACAAATGGGCTTGGAGCGAGCGAGCGGAGGAAGAAATCCCAGAGGGGCTACTTGCTGTGGGTGGAAATGCTATCGCCGAGGTAGATGAAGGAGTTGGGGAGGATGGTATTGTGGCGGCTTCCGGAGCACCACCAGCCACTAGAGGGGCAGGCGAAGGAGAAATGGATGACTTTGGAGCTTCCGATGGGAGTGGGAGGAGAGGGAGGAGCCGTTGTGTCCCTGAATGTAACCGGGTTGCAACCATTATTGAATGCAAATTAGAGTATGAGACGCAACAACGAGTCAATTTTCAAAAATGGATGGTGTGAATATAATGACAACCCCTTTCCCCGCCCAATTCCAAAGAGTTTATATGTCGCATGATGATTTTACAAGGTTTTTATCACCCCGGTTGATGTGACATTGAACTTCAATGTGATAGCATGACCTGGAGCACCTATGGTACTTCGTTCGAAAAATGATGGTTCCTAACCC